GCCTCATAGTAAGTAGCGGAACCATCCAAGGGCGCGGGGGCAATCCACTCGGGAGTGTACTGGCTTTCGCGTCCTGTGCGCGGGTGACCTCCATAGTCAACAACATCAATGGTCTTGCTCCGTCGTGAAATTGCAGGCCGACGAAACGAGGTGTGGCGACTGAGAGCGTCCTCGACCTCGTTGTCATTGTAGTATGGCGGCTGCTCGAGGGCATGTCGAGCTTGCCCCGTATGGCGCGCCAGGCTGCGAGGTGGGTACTTGCGATCCTGAGAGTAGTCCCGGACGCTGAACTCTCGGCGCGTGTTCGATATGCGCGACTCGGTGGTGCTGTTCTGACGCTGCAACCCACCGACGGCGAAAGCCTGATGGGTTGCAGACCTAGACCGTCCTGATGCGGCAAAGGCAGCCTCGTCTCCTGCACTATTGTCCTCCGACTTCATCATTGCCCACGCAAGGGCCGCGCCCGCGGTCGCACCAATCATAGTACCTAGCATAGCTTTCGACCGAAAATCCGTGGTTGCGATCGGGTTTACAGGTAAAGTGCTCGAGCGTTTGAGGGCTGGTGTGGGCGTCGTACGTTGGTGTCTTAGAGAGCGCGACGAGTGTGACTCCACCTTGCTGTGTAGCTCGCTTTTCGCAACGTTCTGCTGCCAGGTCGTGACACGGCTGTCTTCTAGGGCAAGCAGTGCAGTTCCGTTGTCTTCCTCGGCGTTCACCACTTCGCGGAATACAAATTCGACCACGTTGCCATCCAGGTCCTCGACAGCTGCGTTGAAGACAGAGCAGTCCCGATCACGGTAGCTAGGGGCGCCACTCGGGTGTGCTCCTGAGGTCAAGGCAGCAGCGTAGCAATTCCGGACCGTCAGACGGCTATCAGCCGTGAAGGCGACGTGTGTGGGCGAGACTGCTCGACTGTGATGAGATCAGCAATTCATCGTTGTGTCTGAACATTGCATCCCTACCCTCGCGGATGTTGTGTCAGGAAGAAGTCGGCGAATTCAACACCTAGTCCAATCGAGCCTCCGCTCTGTCCAATGTAACAGTATCCGAGCGGCGCAAGAGTCGCCAAGTAGAACGATATTGCCGCCGGGATCTCCGATACCGTCAGCCCAAGGTGCGAGACCGGCATACCCTGGTTGTACAATGCATGCAAGAGAAGAAGAGAGGAGCGATGTCAGAAGAGAGTATAATAACGCGAGCATGCAGGAAGGGATCGAAGTGTCCTGGCAAGTATACTGCTGCAGAGAAGAGGTCCAGGCTCAGAAGAGCGCCTTTCTCTAGGCTATGTAGAGATGAGATGCTTTGGAAGAGCTGACACGGAGAATAGACTCCGTAGATCCTGAAGTATGCGCCTTTACGTCGGTCAAGAGCCCATTGGCTGGTAACATCCTAGACTCACCATCAGTGGAACCGTGAGTGCAGTGGCTTCAATCTTGGGATTGATTAGGCAAGGCAGATCTGGGCCGCAGGTGCTTCGACACTCCAATGCCAACACACAAAGAGAGGCAGCCAGGCCATTGGTGAGGCGAGTAGGAAGGCATCCACGTCGCCTCGGCCGGGGCTTGCATACTTGACAGGCGGTGGTGATCCAGACAGACGAGTGGTCAGGCAGACCTACAGGAGCTGCCACGTCCGCGAGATGCAGCTAATGCAGTCGAGCAGCGTGAGTGGGCGGCACGGCGCGAATAATGATGTCCTGCACTCCGATGGGCGTGAAGCGGGGCGTCGCTGCAACGCGGCGGCAAGCACATCAGTTCGTTGTTCTGGCTCATGCTTCGAGATGCGATACACGCAGTCGACAGGGTGTGATATAGGTGATGATTAGATGGCGACCACTTATGCGTGTTGGATAGGATTGTCTCGGGCGTGAAGAGGTGCGATGTGGAGTGTCCGGGGCGTCGATGCGGACGCCAAGCCAGTCAACATCCGGCTGCAATAGAAATACTGTGACTCGGTAACAGTGCAGCAAACTGTGGTCCGGGGTCTCTTGTCTGATGTGAGTGGACTTTACTCTATGATAACGATGATGATGACCGCAGTCCAACCTTCAAGGATACCCGTCGCGTGCTTACTGACGACCGACTTGGACAGGTCCAAAATGGAACGCGGCGTGCTTCTCAAACTTCTACAGCCCGACGAGCATGGTACATGCCTAGTCGACAGTACCGAGGGTTCCATCAACCGTATTCAGTCCCGACTCCTCAAAGCTGGGTTGGAGGATGAAGGGGCTTTCTGTTGATCACTAATCGTTAAGATTGCCCATCCAAAAGGCCCCATACAACGGACCATCGACCGTGCTGTTGTAGACAGGTGTTCCTAATGGTCGACTAGTGTGACCCAGGCAACTGCGTATCTACGGCTGAAGGACCCCTATCCTCTACTTCCAAGTCAACAACGTTGACCCATGGAGTGGGCCTCAGGAAGTGGTATATCTGCCACTTCGACGATGAGACAATCGAACCACAAACTCGATACCATCCAGCACGATGAGCGAGCCAACCGAAAGCAGAACAGGCGCCTGCCTCTGCGGCAAGATCAAGTACCAGCTCCAAGGCAAAGCCGCAAAGCCACTCCACAATACCGTCTGCCATTGCCTTAGTTGCCAACGGATCACCGGGTCAGCGTTGCTTGCGGCATCGATCGTATCGAAAGAAGTACGAAATCAAGCACTGCAAGACTGCTCGACCGAGGTGCTGACTTGAGTGTAAAGGGCTTTTCCATCACGCAAGGCGAAGACGCCTTGAAATCCCACGCCGACACCAAAAGCGACTCCAGACAGCCATTGACGCGGAAGTTTTGCAGCGAGTGCGGCAGCAGGCTCTTTGCGTTTACGCCTCTGAACGAGAACATAGTTATGATCGCGGCCGGCACGCTGGATGATTTCGAGGATTGGAGGCCGGTAAGTCGTAGACGACGGTACTCGTGGTGTACTCGGGCTAATGTCTCTTATCGCAGAGCAAGGAGCAGTACTGCGTTCATCGTCTGGGGTTTGCTGATAAGATGAAAGGGGTCGAGAGCCAGGACCGACATGTGACCAATATGCGGTCTGAGGCCGAGAAGCTGTGAGGCAAGCGTCGAGGCGAGATAAAGGTCAACACTACTGATTTCCAGTCTTAGGGTGTCATGTGGTAGAACATGTTTAATTAGTAGTGGTTGTAATCAGAGTAGCACCGAGGGCTGGACGACACTGCTACACTTTCCTCAACCCAATACCGACCCCAACAGTCCGCGTCAAGTTTCCGGCGGACAGAATCAACCTGGCTTATAAGTGTTGAATATCCCAATTGACACCTGTGTCGCATTTCCCCGCCGCTCGTTGCAGAGCAGCACCATACACCAGCTTGATGTTGTAATCGCAGCCAAGATGCACCGCCTGGAGATACTTGCTTAGACATGACCAACCGTTCCCAACAACACATCTTCAGCCGATCATACTGTCAATCAAATAATATCCCAAATCTCCTCAGCAGCGTGGCAGAACTTGCTGCACGCTACACTGGCGCTCAGACTGTAATTACTGATACTGATTGAGTCGTCCTTGAACTGGTCGGCGAAGGTATCGGCGCCCTTGGCCATCGCACCAACGAAAACGCAGATGCTCTCTTTTGGCCCCAGATCCTGGACATAGTCGCGCACGCGCACGACCGGCGCGTCGAACGAGAGCGTGACCTTGCGACAGTTTGGGGGCAAGTGGTCGGTGATCGGATTGCGGATTACCTTCAGCAGTTTCTCCGGCGAAGTCGTGGAGCGGATAGACAGATTATGCAGTAGCTGCACCATCAGACCCGCAAAGCGTTTGAACGTGCGCGGGATGCGCACCGTGGGGCTGACCTCGATGAGTACGCCTTTGGCGGTGTGGATGTATATCTGCAGCTTTCCGGCTTTGTTGACTGGCGAGTCCAGAAGAGTGAGGAGACACTGGTGCGTAATGTCTGGGCGAGCGTCGCTGATATCCCGGTTCATCTTGCGCATGACTCCAATATGCTCATCGCTGTTGAGCAGTGCGTATTTTGCATTGTCTGGCTTCCCGCCACGCTGCGGCCCCGACTGCGCGGCCTTGTATGTCTCCAAGCTTGCATTCGAGAGGACCACAATCAGTCGCTTCGTATCTTTGTCGTTGGATGAAAGTGGGTGGGCTTGCTCGGCGACGAGCTGCGGTAGGGCGGGAGGCGGCAAAGATTGCGTTTGGGTTCCTGCAGGGGTCGCAGGCTTGTGGTCAGCCATTTCAGACCTTGTTGAAAGGTGTTGCTTCATGATGGAGTTTGCTGGTTGTGCAGCAGAGAAGGCAAGCTTTAGGAAATGGCGGCTGGTAGCGGTGCGCACAGCTTTTGTTGAGCGGGGCCAGCAAATGGGAGTGGACATGTTTGCAACGTACTTATCCTCTTCGTCTCTCTCCCACTCGACGACGGTCTTCTGCCAATATACTCGGCCTTCGCCGATGCATCCAGGAGGGACTGCTCCAAGTTGATCTCGCTCTCCAGTTTGACTGCGCTAGAACTCGACATGGTGATCCGAACGAATCGGTAGCGCTGTGGGCTGCCGAGATTTGCGCAGAGCTCTCTTCGGACAGGTTGGATGTCCGAGTCTGCTCCAGTGTAGGAAAGGGTAGCGAAGGTATGGTATTTGTCGAAAGATGAAGATGCTGGAGAAAGTACCTGAGAGCGTGAGACTCGGTCGGATTTCTTGGATGCTGGTGCGTGCGCGCTCGCTCCCAATTTTGTTCTACATTCCGCGCGACCCCCGAGCGGAGATTTCCGGGTTTCTTCCCAAGTCCTCTTCCTCCACAACTCAAACATGAGTTTGCCCGCTCTCACCCTTTGGCAGGACATACCCCCAACATCTTCGGGGCTTCGCTGCTCGACTCGCCACATTTCTCGCTTCTTGCAGTTGCTTGGCTGCCGTCAGTGCTCCTATTTGAGCACGCAAATTCCCATCGGACCAATCGTGAATTATAGACGTGCCCTTTATATACCATAGTCTCCACGCGTGCTCAGATGTACGCTGTGGTGTCGGAGTGGTTAACGAGTTAGACTTGAATGCCCCTTCATGCCATCTAATGCCTTCGGGCGCGCAGGTTCGAATCCTGTCCGCAGCGAGTGATACGATTGTTTTGTCTTTTTGTCTTCAGCTATAGCCTTCGCTCAGATCCTCTCTCTTTTTTCTCGCCTCTATGGTCAAGGTAAGGCACCAATACGACGCGAATTGCTACGATCTTTACCTTCGCCATCCCCTCCGAGGACCTGGTCGTGTCGTCGGGAGGGTGCCAAGACCTGGTAGTATTCTCCGTCTGCCCCCACTTCATCCTACCGGACACATGCGCATCTGTTCTCGCGACATCGCATCTCTGCCCTTTGGCGACATGAGTACAGTAGCATATACTTCGGCCATCGGCGGTACTTGACATGTCCAGCTCCATTTGACTGCGTGGCTGCATGATTGCTGCATGCCTTTGAGCTTCCCACGAAGCTCAGCGCCTTGATTCCGTACCGCCACTACTCCCCCTCCCCCCGATCGTTCTTCTGGTAGGAGTGAAGCAGGCAGTACGCCATGCCACCGCGAGAATCAGCTTGAATGCAGAAGACAAACGGCAGTCCCGCGGCAAGGCCGACGTTCCTCGAAGACGCACGAATCAACTCCGACCCCGCCAGGTCGGAAAGCGATTACGATGGCGCAAGCCCGGGTGCCCATATTACGGTCGAAGCGCCTCCAAGACCGGCACTATCGAGACGGACAACAGTGAGAGGCGAGAGCGTAAAGAGCATAAGCGAGGCCTTGCGGCTAGCCCGCTCGAGAGAGGAGCAGGAGACATTACTAGGAGAACACGAGCAAGCGGTAGGCACAAACCTTTGAGCCAATGGTGCGGCACTCATGGTCGTGTGCAGGACGATGATGGGTGCTACCCACCGCGATCAATGGATGGACCGAGGGCTCCGAATCCTCATCAATCCCTTCCGATCTACACTACGATCCACAAGATCAGACGCTTGATCATTGCGAGCATTGGTACGACAAAAAAGTACGAAGCATAAATGTCCATGAAGCTGATGTGGTACCCGTAGACGATCCATACTCCCTCGAACAGCTGAAGAGCCCTCGGATGAACGTAGCTGTGATCCGACCGTTGGTGGAGCATCTATATGATCCGGACGACGTCTCGATAGTCTATTGTCTACTGGTGAATCGAGTGCAGTTCTTGAGGGAGCAATCGTATCAAGCCCACCACCAGACCGTCAACATTACCCGAGCCAACGTTTGTGAGCTTATCGCCGCCCGTGTACTGCGCCGCTATGATGAAGATCATGAAGGCCGAGATGGGCTGCTCATGCTGGCCAACGTCCTTGTCGCCGGATTTGAGCCGTTTCAGAACGCGCCGCTTGAGGTGATAAATCTCAACCGGACCGAGGTTCACTGGACGATACGCTGGGGTCTGACACGCCCGGAGTACCAGCGCATGCTTACCGCTCTGGAAGTAGCGATTGTCTCGGAGTCTAAGAACTTCCTGAGCACGTCGGCTTGTCAGAAGATCGTGGAGAACGTTTACAGGGGTCGCATCATTTACACGCCGACCAGCTTTATTGACTTCCTGCCGGATCACTACAAGAACCGCGGCATCTCCTTGTACGACCCACGGAAGGCTCCGTACCTCAATCAGTACCGCCTAATCGTCCCACGAACGAGGAACATACTCGAGGTCTTCCAGTTTGTTGTTCTACTCGTGCTATACATGCTGGTCATGGTGTATGAAGCGCACACCATCGGCCCTTCACATCTCAAGTTCACCATCTACGAGCTTGTGTTCACCATTTATGCCATTGGCTGGGTCTTGGATGAGATCGCGTCAGTATGCGAGCACGGCTGGACAGTGCATACCGAAAATCTATGGTCATTCCTCGACATCACCTTCGTGGTCATCTTCTGGACGTACTTTGGCATCCGAGTCCACGGTCTTGCGACCAATGACGGCAGCACCAGTAAGCTAGCACTGGATGTCTTATCAATGGCTGCACCGATACTGCTACCAAGGCTGGCATTCTGCCTGATGTCCGAGAATATGCTCTTCATCTCGCTACGTGCGATGATGGCCGACTTCACCTTCCTCACGCTACTGGCCGTATGGTGCTTTGGCGGCTTCCTGATCGCTATGCGATGGCTGAGCGAGACCCAAGACGGCTACATCGAACACAGCGTCCTCACAATCGCGAAGTGGATGCTGTGGATCTGGTTCGGACTCGATGGGACTGGCATACAACGCTCGGCTGAAATGCACTGGCTACTTGGCCCAACGCTCATGATCACCTTTGCGTTCCTGGGGAACACGCTGTTTTTGACGATTCTCGTGGCCATGCTCAGCAACACGTACACCAATCTCGCGCAAAACGCAACAGCGGAGATCCAGTTTCGACGCGCAGTGCTGACCTTCGAAGGCGTCAAGTCCGACGCCATCTTTGCTTACCGGCCACCCTTCAACGTCCTGGCGCTGCTCATCCTCCTCCCTCTCAAGTGGGTGCTCTCACCCCGCTGGTTCCACAAAGTCAACATCACCGCGGTCCGCGTCCTCAACGCCCCGATCCTGCTCATCGTCTCCATCTACGAGCGCCGCTACCTCTGGCGACGCAATCGCATGCTCTCACCGCCCCGCAAGCACACCTGGCTCACAATGTGGCAGCACTTCGGCGCACACGGCGATCTGCAAGCCGTTTTCGAGACGGAGCCGCCGCAGAGCGTCATCGATGAGATGGATGATATTGACGATGTGCTCGGTGGGGAGGAGTGGGATCAGGGGTTTGTCAACGCTTTGAGGGCGCGGAGGGACAGTCGGGCGACCAGCATTGCGAGTGGGGTGTGGGGTAGGAATATGAGTCGGGATCCGGGGTTCAGGCCGATGAATGGGTTTCGGAGAAGGAGCACTCGGGAGGAGATGAATTCGGGTAGCGTGGCGGAGGTCTGAGAAGAGTAGTGCAGCGTTCAGTCTCGTTTGAATCATTGAGCGCGATCAGATTGCCGAATGTGGTGTTGTATCTTTATTGATATACCTGTAAGACGTGTCTGTGTAAGTTGTCACAATGTTGCTGGTTCGCCAAGGGCATCTATTAAGGTGAGATGAGGTCTCTGGCCTTCTCGCGGAGGATGCCATCGCCGAGCCGAGGAGCTCCAGCTTCACCTCGAACCCTCTGCGGTCTCACCATTGCAATAAACACTTGCAATCAGCCCGTTGACCAGCTGACCAGCGCCTTGACATCCCTTCAACCCACCGCCGCTTCTAATATCCCTCCATGATGGCTGCCAGAATTCCCACCTCCCTCCGTTCCATGGCCTCCACACGACACGCCGCCTCCTTCCTCAGACCCACCACATCACGGCCAGCCCAGCGATCCTTTCAAACAAGCAGACCATTGCAAGCAGACGTCGTCATAACACCACCTGCCAGAAGACCCGTGGGCGCTTTCCGGGGCACGTACGTGGAAACCACGCGACTTTCCAAGACACCGCGGAGCAGATTGAGGCCCGCAGAGGGTCTGCAGACTGGTAGCTGATATGCGAGTACTTGCAGTCTCTTCGGCTTCCTCCTCGGCTCGGTGCTCGCGGGTGGTGGGTTATACTACTACGTTATTGATGAGTACAAGGTCTCGAACGAGTTGTTGACTGAGGATATCTATGTGAGCAGTCACGATTCAGTGGTGGTAGATGGGAGATGCTGATATTGCGGCAGGCACTCCAAGCAGCTGTTCAGCGGTTAGAGGTCTATGTCAAGGGCGTTGAAGAGGAGGTCAAGACGAGCAAGAAGTGATATTGGGTGCTTTAGCATAGGTAGGAGGTTGGGGTCAGGTTTGGAGCGATTCGTGCGAGCTGTGCTCTCCGTACATGTATATACCCCAATACGCTCCAGATCTCCAAGCTGGCATATATGCTTTGTATTGACTCCAGGAACGCCCGCTAATACGAAGCTACCTATCAACCCCATACCATACTGCACCTACTTCGGTGTCATCGCAACCTTCGCCTCGTCTATCTTCTTCGCCGCAATCGCAGCGAGCTGTTCCAGCTTCTCTTTCCGTACCTTTCGCACATACCGGAACAGCAGAATGAAGAGCAGCTCGACTCTCTCCTTCGTCATCATCAAGATGCCTTGGACCAGCAGACCTTTGAGCAGCTGAGGCGCGACGCCCTTGTATAGGCCCAGCGGACCTTCTTTCTCCACGATGAATCGCATAACTTCGAGGAAAGACTTGAAAGGCTTGCCTTTCCTCGCGGGAGGCGGTCGCGACTGCAGACCAACCTTGGCGACGATAAGGGGTTGAGTCACCATAGTCGCAAGGGATTTGGAGAGTGCGCCGAGGACTGGAGCGGTCAGCGTTCTGTACCGGTATCTCGCGAGCGGTCCGCCAACTTACGAAATGCCTCATGCGCCCTCAATGGCTTGTCACCAGGATACAAGCCCTCCCGTAATCGCTGGTACGCTCCGTAAGTGATGGCCGGGTTTATGACAAGCACCAAACTGGCCTTCAGCCCACTCCACAGGCCAGCAACACCATGCTCGCCGTCAATGACCTCTTTCGCCGTCGCCACCATACCCTTCTTGTCGCCTTTCGGCTGCGTCTGCTGCCTCGTCGTGACAACGGAAATTGGAATCGTGAAAAGCTGCGCCAGTGCACCTGCCATTGCGCCTAACGATAGCTCCACCGCGGTACTCGGGTTGACGCCCTTGCTCACCCTCGACAGATACAGCGTCCGCACCGTGCTGTACCAGTAAAAGTACGCGAAGTTCGTGCTAGCCACACCCAGCAAGCCGCCCGCCATACCGCTGTAGAGTCCGCGTACGCCTTCATCCTCAACGATAGACATGATCGCGTGCATGGTGCCGTTGTAGTGTTTGTGGTTGGTTGTTTCGGCATCTTGCGGGGGATCGCTGGCGTGCTCTTTGATTTGGACTTGTAGGCGAGTCTTGACGATGTCGAGAGGGTAGACGAGGGCGTTGGCTAGAACGGCGCCGGTACTGCCTGCGATTGCGAGGCCCCAGGGTGGGACCTCTGCTTTGGAGAGGACTGCCATTGCAGATTTGGTCGACTCGAGGAGCTTGAGGCGTGGTACTGGCCT